GAGGTCCCTGTTTCCTTGCTGACTGTCACGGGGGGCTGATGTCAGCTTCTAGAGGTCCCCACATTCCTTGCCACGTGTCCCTGTCCATCTCCACAGCTAGCAAGGAGCCTCTCCTACTTCAGGGAAAGCCCACTCCCTTTCAGGGCTTATCTGATTAGGTCCGGCTCACCCTAGAAGGTCTCCCTTTCTTCAAGTCAGCTGTGCCGTGACATAGGCTCATCATGGGAGTGAGTATCCCATCCCCGGGTCCAGAGGCATATACAGGGAGTTTGTTTCAGGGGGCAGGAAACATGAAGGCATCTTAGAGTTCTGCCTCCCTGTGTGTGCCTTCTCTATACCTGGCACATACGCCCTTGATAACACCTTTAATACTTCCTGCTAATCTTGAAGGTCCTTGAGGGCACTGGGGCAACCACCATGGAGTGTTTTCATATTTTAACAACGAGTACAGCTATATAGATTCCTGTAGAACAGCATACAAATATCTAGTCTGAGACAGGAGTATATTCTCCTCCACTAACCTTCTTCCAGCCTCATCCCATATCCCAAAACTCTGGGAAGCAAGCATTGACCCAGCAAATATAAGAGAGAAAGGAAGGAATCGTTAAGGATGTCTGCTGTCTTCATTTTCACAGTAGGGAAACTGAGTCTGAAACAAGACTCCCAAGCCACCCTGGGTGGCTCAGTCGGTTAAGCATCTGACTCTTGATTTCGGCTCAGGTCATGATCTCAGGGGCGTGAGGTCAAGCCCCACGTCTGGCTCCGTGCTGGGCGCTGAACGTGGAGCCTGCTTAAGATTCTCTCTTCCCCTCTCCTTCTGCTCCTCCTCTCCGCCCCCCTTGCAGTTTCTCTCTCTCTCTCTCAAAAAAAAAAAAAAAAAAAAAAGACTCCCACCCAGTGCTCCCTTCCGGAAACCCTGCTGGTTTCCAAATACAGTTTCTATCAAGATGCTGCGTCCACGGCTCCTGACTTTCTAGAAAAAGCCCCTCCCATGACACAGGGCTTTCTTTACTGTGTGTGTGTGGCGGGGGTGTTTGGGAATTCTTCACACAGAGGTCCACTTAAAAGGATGTCAGATTCACTCGTGCATCACCTAAAATACAACTTCCTTTGATTTTGCTTCTTTTGATTCTTTCTCCATTTGTGTTTCTATATCAAAGAATTTAATCCACTTTGCTGGACTTCAGGCTCTGTCTTCCCAAGAGTTTTAATCATGTCCGGGCACAGCTTCCTATCCTCAGACACAGGAGAGGGTTCCAGATGAACAGCAACACCAGGCTTGATGAGCTTGAGTGGGATTTGCTCCTGTCAGTGCCCTCCCCGGGTCCTGCGGGGAGAAGCTCTCATACTCACTTTGCCTCCTCCAGCCCAAAGCCTTTCCCCACGGCCTCTCTCTCCACAGGCAGTTCTGCTCAGACCCCTGGGCTCAGAGGGGGCAGTGCTAGACTATAAACTACACGAAGGCTGGGTCTGCATTCAGCTTATTCACTGCTTAATCTCCAGCTCTTAGCACAGAAGCTGGACGATCGCAGTTCCTCAACTAATGCTTGCTGAATATGGGTGCATAAATGAATAGAATAGATCTTGAAAATCTGATTCAAAAGCTCATCTCCATTGTCCCTGAAAATTCTTTTGATATAATGGGCCCACAGCACTGGAGGCCAAGATTTCTAGAGTGGGCATTTCACTTACTCTTAGGAAGAAATCTGGGGAGGAGAGGTCAGCTTGATGCCTGCCCTGCAAGAGGCCCACTGGGGCTTTTGATACTTGACTTAGATGCTCTATGTCTCTTTCTTCATCCTTAAAATGGGGGTTAATGGGGCATTGCATTAAATTTCACATCAAGGAGTGTTTATGAATATATATTTACATTTATATTTATATTTATGTTTGTATTCATATAGTCTTTCCCTAGATCCTCATAATGGCCCCCAGAGCTGGAATGGCAGAAAATATTATCTGAGGTTTATAGCAGTTTGAGGCAAAGAAAATGAAGACGGTTTTTCCTTGGGTCACAGGACACGTTTCTTGGAAGCTGATCCTAGAACCCAGATCTCGCCCTGGGCTGAGCGAGGAAAAACTTCTGCTGAGGATTCTAGCACACTTGGAGGATGGATGCCAATCTCAAATCAGAAGTGAACCCTTTCCCTGTCCGCTGGACGCAAAAAAATTCCTCAGGTCTTGCCTGAGGTGTCCTAGAAAACTTTTCTCTGTTTCTAGTACAGTGCAAGGCTTTCTCCTACAAGAACGTATGAAAGTATATTCAAAAAATAAAGAAGGAAACAGTGCAGAAAATCAGCAGAGGGCGCCTGGGTGGCTCAGTTGGTTGAGCAACTGCCTTCGGCTCAGGTCACGATCCTGGAGTCCCTGGATCGAGTCCCACATTGGGTTCCCCGCTCGGCGGGGAGTCTGCTTCTCCCTCTGACCCTACCCCCTCTCAGGTGCTCTCTCTCTCTCATTCTCACTCTCTCAAATAAATAAATAAATAAAATATTAAAAAAAAAAAAATCAGCAGAAAAGCTATTTCTCTGGAAGATCTGAAGGCAGGAGAATGTGCTTTGCCAGGTGCCCTAACCAGTGACTCATTCTGGCCAGCACTGGGCCTGCCCTGCCCAACACCAGTGGCTTGAGGAGTCCATGGGCAGCCCTCCCATCAGACCCCTATCTGGGTTCCAATAGCTGGGCTCCCCAGGAGCCCCCAGGGCATTGGGAGTAACAGAATTTTTCACCCTTTCTGGGCATCCCTGAGTTCTCAGTAGACAGTCTCCGACCTAGGGGCAGAGCAAAATCATGCTTAGGATTCTGCAAAGCAACATCAAGCATCCAGCTCCTCATTTCATTTATCTTTGTAACTGCCCATGTGACGGAGCGGGGAGCAGGTGGCCCTGTGCAGAATGGGAAATGGCCAACAGACATCTGAGACAAACAGCCCTTCGGATGACCCTTCAATATGATATTTTAAAGATTACCTTGAAATTGCCACAACCACCAAGGTAGCAAAGAAAAAGGTCTGCCAGGATCTTCTGACTTTCCACATTGGGGGAAATCTTCCTTCATGGCTTATAGAACATTCATCCAGGTTGTTCTATCAGGTTCACTGTTTCCCAGGAGTGGGACTACCTGTGAAATCAAAACAAGCTTGCTTGTAAAGATGAAGGGCTGAGTAATAGCATCCCCTTAGGTGAATTCCCCCAGGATCAGAAGCTCATAGAACTTTCTGGAGCAAGCAGCTCATCAGTCTAAGCAGGAGCCACAGAACGTCAATGTCTGCAAGCCACTGTATGGTGGGTACTGTGAGACCCCAGGCTGGAGCAGATGAACCTAGATTCAAACCCTAACTCAGCCACTTAACTACTTGAGCTTCATTGTCTTTGCCTGAAGATTAGAGGGATAATAGCAGTTCTTCTTTAATAACTTTATTGTGAGGATTATAAATGAGCTAATGGATATAAATTTCTCAGCACAGTGCCTGGCTTGTGAACGCTCAGAAATTTAAGCCATGATTATTAGCTGTGGAGATTCTCATGGTCTTTCCTAGCTGCATCAGAGTCTTAAAGTATTTTCAGTGGGAGTGAGCAGAATATCAGAAAAACAGTGGACCAATGCAGGTGTCTGGGTGTTTCTTTAAAGTGTGGCATACACTCCAAAACATGGTACAGCCTTTTTGAAAAGTAATTTTTTATTCAGATATTTTATTGAGATAACAGACATGTAATGTTGTATTAGTTTAAGGGGTATAACATAATGACTTGATATATGTATATTTTGGGAAATGATCACCACAATTAGTTTAGTTCACATCCGGCACCATATATAATTACAATTTTTTTTTTTTGTGATGAAGACTTGAAGATCTACTCTCTCGGCTTCTTTCAGATATACAGCACAGTATCATTAACTATAATAGCCACGCTATACATCACATCCCCAGGACTTCATTTGCAACTAGAAGTTTGTACCTCGTGACCACCTTACCCATTTCACTCGCCCCGTACAACCTCTCCCTGGCAACCACCAATCTGTTTCTCCTTATCTGTGAGTTTGGCTTTCATTTGTTTGTTTTTGATTTCACATATAAGTTTATAGCCCTTTTGAAAACCTTAGGGGCATTAATATCTTGTCCATTTCAGGTTTTTAGAAGGCAGGGAATTACTGTGTCAAGATTTTTAACGGTGGGTCTACACAATGATTTGTCATATTCGTAAGTGCTCAGACAGCCACAGACTCCCCCCCTCAGACGGTAGGAGTGACCACATGGTGAATCAGACACTCACTGCCTTTTCCTTTCTGTCTGCTGCTAAGATCTGAGACATAAAGAAAGGAGACAGGGAGATATAAAGAAGAAAGCACAGGCTCTGGGCCCTGTGAGCAAGAATCCAGATATCCACTCTGCCAGGTAAGTGTTTGGTGGCCCAGGTTATCACTTAACCACTTACCTTTTTGGGGCTCTTGTTTATTTTTTTATTTACTCATTCATTTATTCAACAAGTGCTTTTGGAGTATACAGTATGTTCTGGGCTACCCTCTGGGTATTTGGAATGTATGAGGGAACAAAACAGACATACCTGTGCCCCGTGGAGGTTACATTCTAATGGAGGGGGAAAGACTCTGAGAAATAAATATGATGCATATGCAATCAGTGTTTACATACTGGAGATCAAGCTCCAACTCCAACCAGTTGCTGTGATAACAAGTGACAGTCTGGGTGTACTGCATGGACTAGAGCAAGCACTTAATAAATTGTCGCGATTATTATTTTCTTAATTGCTCCCAGATTTCTTAAATCCTTTCAACACCATGTGTAGTTTGCACCTACATATTTATTCATTCAACAAACAACTATTGAGCTGCTGTTATATGCTAGAATCTGTAGGAGGTACCAGGGATACAAGCAAATAATATAAAAAAAACATGTTCTCTGCCCTTGAGGACCCTGCGGTAGGCTCCACTGTGCACTGGATGAGGACCCTTGAGAGCACAGAGGCAGGAGTGACCTTGAAATCTTGTGTTTCTATGAATCAGCACAGCCCCCTTCGCTGATGATGTCTTTTTTAACTCATGCATCCCAGCTATGGCTGGCGATTCTAGGAATGCTATGAACCAGGATATGGAGATTGGGGTCAGGGACCCGAAGAAGATCCCCAAACAGGCCCGCGATTACATCCCCATTGCCACCGACCGTACTCGCCTGCTAGCAGAAGGCAAGAAGCCCCGCCAGCGCTACATGGAAAAGAGTGGCAAGTGCAACGTCCACCATGGCAACGTCCAAGAAACCTACCGATACCTGAGCGATCTCTTCACCACCCTTGTGGACCTCAAATGGCGCTTCAACCTGCTTGTCTTCACCATGGTCTATACCATCACTTGGCTGTTCTTCGGTTTCATTTGGTGGCTGATCGCTTACATCCGGGGTGATCTGGACCATGTTGGTGACCAAGAGTGGATTCCTTGTGTTGAAAACCTCAGTGGCTTTGTGTCTGCCTTCCTGTTCTCCATTGAGACAGAGACCACCATCGGGTATGGCTTTCGGGTGATCACAGAGAAGTGTCCAGAGGGGATCATACTTCTCTTGGTCCAGGCCATCCTCGGCTCCATCGTCAATGCCTTCATGGTGGGGTGCATGTTTGTCAAGATCAGTCAGCCAAAGAAGAGAGCAGAGACCCTCATGTTTTCCAACAATGCAGTCATCTCCATGAGGGATGAGAAACTCTGCCTCATGTTCCGGGTGGGTGACCTTCGTAACTCCCACATTGTGGAGGCCTCCATTCGTGCCAAGCTCATCAAGTCCCGGCAGACCAAAGAAGGAGAGTTCATCCCCCTGAACCAGACGGACATCAACGTGGGCTTCGACACTGGTGATGACCGTCTCTTCCTGGTGTCTCCACTCATCATCTCCCATGAGATCAACGAGAAGAGCCCTTTCTGGGAGATGTCCCGGGCCCAGCTGGATCAGGAGGAGTTTGAAGTCGTGGTCATTCTAGAAGGGATGGTGGAGGCAACAGGTAAGACACTTTATCTTCCTTGGCCACAGGACCCTCCCGTGTACTGGGAACCTAGGCCACCAGGGCTAGAAGATGGCAGTTGGTGCCTGAGAATCCTGGGATTCTCAGCCGGCCCAATCTCTAACTGTGATCTGAGGGGTGTTGTCATTCAATCAAGATGCAGTGATAACAACAGCTAATGTTTACTGAACCCTCTAACTTCTGGACATAGTTCTAAACTTTAAACATATGGTATTGCACTTAATGCCTTCCCACCCCCTGTAAGATGATGTTCCTTAGATTACAGAAAAAGAAACAGAGGCACAGACAGGCAAGTTATCAGTCTAGTTTCGTCCAAGAGCAAGTCATAGAGCCGGGATGCCTGGGAAGGTGGGGGACCTCAAAGCTGGCCTTTGTTTTCGACAGGCTATCTTGCTCCACCACATCCCGGGGCATGTGTTTACCCAAAAAGAGTCCTGTGATCAGGTAACTTGGAGAAATACAGTGAAACAGAGTGCACAGGCTTCTTCACAGTAGAACTTTGTGGTGTCTCTACATGCCATGAATCACTCTGTGATTTCCCAAACACAAAGCTTCCCAAAGTCACAGAATCCTCTTTTTGAAGAGGTGTCTATACCCCAGACCTGTGAGGGCAGCTCTTCTGGCTGCCTCCCTCCCCGCCCCCCGCCGCGGGAAGGCTGTCCCTGAGCTTTCCTGTGGAAGGCTGGCTGAGTGAACAGGGGACGAGCCAAAACCAGTCCATCTGCATCCACATAGGCCCAAGCAGATGCCCTCTTCGTGGCCAGCCCGGCACCTCTCTGCTCAGCTGCCAACTCTCACGGGCAGCCGGCAGCCAGGAACTTCCACCATTCCTCAAGGCCAAGGCCTCGGTGCAGGGCTCCAGGGAGCCCGAGGCCAGCGGAGCACAAGGCCCCGGTCCCACCACTCCTGCCTGAACTCCTGGGGAGAAGAGCCCTCCCGCAGATCCCTGCACCCTGCTTCTTACTGCCTTTCTTCCTCTTTCCCTCTCTTCTTGTCACCCGGTAGACTGAGCACTTGTAGAAAACTCACTCAGGCTCAGAATGATACGTGTTTTTCCAATTCCTGCAGGAACACTGGAGACCACGCCAATCCCATTTAACAGACGTAGATGCTGCATCACCCAGCACTTCATGCAGATGGTGTTTGATTCAGGTCTTTCACTTACGAATCTTAAGTGTTGAAATTTCAGGGGCCAGTCACAAAGATGGCCAAACAAGCCTTCCTTACCTTTCGGGAAGCTGGTTGCTGTGCGGGAAACTCAGATGCGGCATCCACACACCTTCTCATGTGGCCGGAGCCCGTGGGACCTGGCTGGGGGTGCGAATAGGCTCGGGGACTGGCACAGAGGGGGCTGCTCGGCCATCTGCTGGGAGCTGGAGCCTGGTCAGGCAGCATATGGTGGCAGCCGAGGGAGCCCCTGGGGCCAAGGACAGCCAGGATGCAGGAAGCCTGCAGCAGAGCTGGGGGCTCACAGGTCGCGCTGCCCTTGGTGCTGGGCTCGGGAGCAGAACACCGGCTGAGTTTCTGGGGGAAGAGCACCACTCTGAGGCCACAAAGGAGGGGTCAGGTCAGAGATGTGGGGACAAACAGGAGAGTTGTGCCTTACAGTCCCCCCGTGCCTTTACTGCCACCTACCGTGGAGGGATCAGGTGGTGACTCAGCTGAACTGGTCCTTCCCCTGAGTATCCTTCAATGTCAGTGGCCCCCGGGTCACCTGCCCTGTCTGGTTGACCTCCTCTCCTCCCATGAGCGCAGGGGGCCCCCAGAAGACAAGGGAAGGAGAACCCCCACCCACATCTGTTCTCATCTCGGCGACTGTGGTGGCTTGATGACCACATTACAGAGCAGAGCATGCGCTGTTGATTCAGGCCGAGTTTGGACGGGCACAGCCCTGCCATAGCCTGCCTGTGTGTGTCTGGGCAAGTTGCTTAACTCGTCAGCAAAATGAGCATAATACAACTCATGGGGTCATTGGGGAGATTAGACGATTCGATGGAGTATCATACGTAAAGCACGGTGCCTGGCACCCATAGGGGCTTCTTTCCTTCCCAAATGCATGGGAAGATGAGTGCCAGGGACATAGGTAGGGTCTCTCGATACAGGGGGTCCACTGCTACATCCCAAGGGGTAAAACAAATCAGGAAAGCCTCCAGGAGATGTGTCCCACAGGTTCCCGTGGGGGTCCTGTCCCGCTGTCTTTCCTGAGGCCCCCAAGCCTGTAGACACCTGGTCTGGGTCTAGACTGCTCAATGCCCAGCTCGGGGTCTCTGCTGAGCCGTGACTGGGGAGGACTGCATGGAAAAGCCTGGCCCAGGCCAGACCCAGGGAGCAGAGAGCAGGCTGCAAGCCCACAGTGTGGGGGGCACCTCTGGGGTGCCCAGCACCGGAGCACAAATGGGTGGGAAGCAGCCTTGCACTTGGGTCTGGTGTGCATGAGGCCCCTGCCAGAGAAAGCCCACCCTGGGAAGCTGGAGCCAGCTTCTCCTTTGTTCCCAAGAGCACACGCCAGTACCTTCCTTGGCCAGAAGATTAAATATCAGCAAGCTGTTTTCCTGTGACCCCAAGCACAGAGGCTTCTTCATCCATAAACAAAGCTGCTTTCCTCCCTGGAGAGAAAGCAACACCTAAAAATAACATAGGCAAGCGAGGGCTGAGAAGACAGGGAATGGAGGCTTTGGAGCATGCTGTAATCAAGGAGCCAAGGGGTGTGTGTGTGTGTGTGTGTGTGTGTGTGTGTGTGTGAGAGAGAGAGAGAGAGAGAGGCTTCTGCCCATATGTGGTCTACCCCAAACAATCCCTGTGTGCCCTACAAGATGGCCAGCTTCTTTACATTCACTCCATCGAAATTTTTTTTAATTTTTTTAATTTTAAACATTTTTTTTAAGATTTTGTTTATTTATTTGAGAGGGAGAGAATGAGAGAGAGAGCACCCGAGAGGGGGAAGGGGCAGAGGGAGAAGCAGACTCCCTGATGAGCGGGGAGCCCGAAGCGGGACTCGATCCTGGGACTCCAGGATCATGACCTGAGCCGAAGGCAGCCGCTCAACCAACTGAGCCACCCAGGCGCCCGAATTTATCTTCGTTCAAACCCTTTTCCTGCCTCTTTTGTGTCTCAATCTTTGAGACATTAATGCTGTTCTCAGGAACCACGTCCCTGGCTCTAGCTATTCCAGAATTATCCACTCCAGTCTCTAGGAACCTACCCCAGAATCTCGCATGTTAGTTTCTAATGTTCTGCCTCTAGCACACCTTGAACTCCTCCAGGGCAAGGACTGTCTTATTCAGCTCTACACCTCCAGGGTGCTTAGCCCAAGCAGAGGTACAACAAATGCTGGTTGGCTGGCTGATGGATGGATGGACGGATGATGGATGGCTAGTGGTGGCCACACCTAATCCCTGTGCCCTCTGTCCCCACAGGCATGACTTGCCAAGCACGGAGCTCCTACATGGATACCGAGGTGCTCTGGGGCCACCGATTCACACCAGTCCTCACGTTGGAAAAGGGTTTCTATGAGGTGGACTACAACACCTTCCATGACACGTACGAGACCAACACGCCCAGCTGCTGTGCCAAGGAGCTGGCAGAAATGCAGCGGGAAGGCCGGCTCCTCCAGTACCTCCCGAGCCCGCCCCTGCCGGGGGGCTGTGCTGATACAAAGGCCGAGCAGGAGGGAGAGGATGAGCCTGAGGGGCTGAGTGAGTCCCGGGAGAACAGGGGCTCCGTGTGAGGACTGTACTTGCCCCCCAACCTCCCCTCCCTGGCCTCTGAGCACAGCACCTGCTGCAGAGCCGGGGGGAGGAGGGGTGAAGAAGCTGAGTGCGCTGTTGGGGGGCCCAGGAGCCATCCAGGCTCTGTGGGGAGGAACAGTATATCCCTTCCTGGAATCTCCCAGCTCAGGCCTCCCTGAGCAGGTGGCCCGCGCCTGGGCGCCTGAGGCAGCCCTGCCTCTCCGCTCCCAGCTTCCGTCAGCGCGGCTCAGGGCCAGGCTGGGATGGGGTTCCCCACAGGGAGAGTTACAGGGCAGCCTCTGTCTCCGCACACACGTCCCACTGGCTGGGGTCACCTCCCTGCTTGGGTCTCACAGACCGACCAGCAGCTCCCCTCAGGGGCTGACACCTGGAGAGGGCCGTCCCCCACCCCATTCCTACCACCCCGAGGCTTGCTGTGGGTTCCGCATGGAGAGATTCTGCCCACCTGGAAGCGCCACCCCTGGTCCCAGGGTGAGCTCGCAGACCTCATGTGTCAAGGTCCATGCGAGTCAGGCGGGCAGTCCCTGTCAGCTTCCAGCCCAGTGTCCACTGCCTGAGAGCCATGGAGAACGGGGCCCTAACGGTCTCTTATCATCTGTGAAGCATGTGCGTCTCCCCTGCTGTATTCTGCGCGTCGCGTGTAGCCTACCAGATAACCGATCTCCTTACAGTGACCCTCGGAAGGTGGCTTGGGCCACAGTGCACCCCTGAGCACACGGAGAGCTGTCGTCAGCCACGTCCTGGCCATTCCCGACCGCTCGGTGGCCCGCTGCTCCCACCCAACGGAGAACCTAGCAGCCCGTTCTTTTCTGGTACTTTTGGCCCCAGAATCTCAAAGTACTGATAACCTTCACTGTAGCTCTCTTCCACCGCCTCAGCCTGGGGTGTGATCCATGGAGAAAGCTGGGATTCCGAAGGCAAGATGAGCCAGTCAGAACAGAAACCAGGAGGGGGGAGGAAAACAGAGGGGCAAGGAATTAAATGTTTAAAATAAGCATCCCCACCAATCACTGCAGAGATATTCTGACTCAGGCTCAGAGCCCCTATCCGGGGGGAGGTGGATGGGAGGCACAGAGAGGGGGGCTCCCCCCCCCACCTGGGGTGACTTGGCCTTCAGGCCCAGCTGAGAAGCCCCTGGGCCTCTTCCCCACAGACTGGGCCGGGAGAGCCCACATGAGGCCTCAGAAGGGGGAAGGGGTGGAAACGGGTGAGGGCAATCCGTGGGGGAATCGGGGAGCCGGTGAGCCTCAAGAGAGAAAAGAGAAGAGAGCAGAGAAGAGCCTTAAAGAGGACAACTTGCAAGGGCTTTTCTTTTAAGGTCTGGAGGCCCAGCAAGAGGACAGGCGGACAGGGTGCATTGTCATGTCAATGAGGCGCGTCTGGTATGTGTTGAGGCCAAAGGGCTCCTGATTCGCTGACCTAGATCTGGAGAGAGGTCGCAAATGTTTTATGGAGCCACAAAATTATGATTTTCGCAGCTCTCAGCTTGCCTTTGATAATGGAAGCATTTACCTGCTTGCTCCGAGGCACCTTCCCTGGGAGTGAGCACAGCACCTGAGTGAGGCAGAGGTTAAGGCGGAGCAGAGGGGCTGCTTTGGGATCCCAGGCTGGGTGTTCTAGGTCCAGAGGCTGGTGAGAAGAGGAGACAGGCAGCCTGAGACGGGGAACTACCTCTCGTGGGGCTGCCATACGCAGAGGAAGGGGATCCTTGTGCTTGGGCCTGTGGATTTGGAGGGGAGGACCTGGCTCTTGAGAGGAGGCTCAGGGACACAGGGAGCAAGCGGGGCCCTTCCTTCCCCGGGCATGGGGCTGAATCCTGATTCCAGGCGTTTTTCTGTGGGGAAGCAGGTCCGGAGGGAATAGAGAATGCACTGGAATCCTGCCCCCCCTGGAAAAAGGAAGCAGGCAGCCTTGAGCACCCTGGTGGGGAACTACACGCTATCAGGAATCTAGGGATGCCTTGGGGGGTGGGAGGACGTACAGCTGCAGCTCTCCGTGGGGGGTCAGCACTCACCCTGGGCCTGGCAGACCTGCGGCTTGCACAGCAGGACTAGGTCCTCCCCCCCCCCCCCCCCCCCCCCCCCAGCCAGGTCTAAAACCGGCCTTAGTCAAAACCCATCAGTGCTTCTCAGTGAGGCAGATAAGTAAGGATGGGGACAGCAAGCCACTCCTCAGTTCTCAAACTCTGCGGCGGCCTCCATGAACCCGGGCCCTATCATGTCTCCACCAGCTATAGAAGCCGAGAAGCAGATGAGAGTACATCCCAGCTCCCTGAGAGGTCAGAGCCCACAGCACTGCGATTAGTCATATTAGCTGCTTTCTCTCGTGAAAATTCAAATGCAGGAAGACTGCCTTTCATATCCCAAGGAAATCCTTCTTCATGTCCAGTTGATACAACTGAAGTTAGAAACATCCTTCAGATAGTTTTCTGGAAGTTCTTGTGTAAACATGCACTCGCTAAGTGTAAAGTCCGATGAGGGCCAGAATTTCCGTCCACCACACACCAGTCATGTGTGGGTCATAGCCCTGAGCTACAGAACTCTGAGGCCACGCATCACTTGTGATGGGTCACAGAGCTGAGCTAAGCCAGCCTATAAGGTGAGCCCACTGGTAACTCCCACGGGCTTCAACATCTCCCAAATCCCAAAGCAGGATCTCACAGGTCAGTCCCTGAAAGCGTTGGAAGCTAACTTCCTGTCTTAGCTTCCAAGACCTCCCTCTCTGAAGTCATCGCCTATAAGGGAGGAGTCCCCGAGAACTCAGAAGAAGGTAAGCTCCCCGTGAGTCTGACGCGTGATAGTGGTTGACAGTATCGCCCAGGACCTTGTTTCCAGACCAGGTAGAATGGGTGTTGCCTGTGACCCCCGCCTTCAGAGGCCACCTTTGGGCAACCAGAACCCACATCCTGTCATTTCCTTCTGCTGCTTTAAGATCCTGGCCTGAGCCATTGACCTTGCTGGAGGAGAAAAAGCCTGTGTCTCTCTGGGGAGAACCCCCCCTTGCTCACCACCTGCAACAACTCTTTTGCAGTCCTTATCCCAGGCCCTGCTTTGCAGTCTGCCTCCACCATGTGTCCCATGTGAGGGCCGTAGCAACTTGAAATTTTTGTACTGAAATTGCCGAAAACAAAAACACACACACAAAAAAAAGTTGCCTTTTGTGTCCTAAGATGCCCTGAACACAGATCTGCACATACGCCCTTTCCGGAGCCCCTCCTATGTGCCCAGCAGTGGGTTAGGCACCTCACCTGGATGACTGCACTTAATTCTCAAATGCTACAGAGAAGCTCTTAGTAACCCCTTGTTACCAATGAGAGAAGTGAGGTGCAGAGAGGTTAATTCGTCTGCTCAAGGCCACAGATGATAATAGGCAGGGCCTGTGAGCCAAGCACCTCCCAAGCAAATACAGAGAGGCCATCAGCGTGCATAGCACCCACCTCCAGGACATCTCCTGAGCTGGGGCAGGAGTAAGGAGAGCCCCACCTCTTCAGATCACCAATTTCTGGGCTGTGCTGTGGAGCTTCAACTTCCATCCACCAGCAATCTTCTCCTGTGGCAGGATAATTGGGAACACCTTTTTCTGATGCTTAGCGAATTAATGAGCTGTGAAAAGAAATAGATGGGGAATTACTGCTTTCTGGAAAAAGCCACTTATTCTGCTTGGCTTGTTTTTTTTTGCTAACGACATCTCCTTAAACTGCTATGTCAAATCTCTTTCTCCCTGTGTAAGATTTGTCAATCTTCTTATTAAAGAGAAAAATCTTAAAAAAAAAAAAAAAAAAAAAATTCATCCAATAAAGTGGACTTGATTTTACAGAACACTCTCTCCCATTTTAAGTAGATGGCCACAGGGTTTCCCATTCAAAGTCACTGCCAGTTGAAGCAAACTTGTCCTTCTTGTTCTCATTAGTCTAAAAATGCAACATCAGTATCTAGAGTAGATTGGAGGTAAGAGTGTGGGCACAGGTTGGGAGGAGACTGGATTGAGGAGAGCGGGACCTGGGGTCAGGGCTCAGCCTGCAGGCAAAGTGAAGAGCGAGCAACATAAGCAGCGTGGGTTCTCATATTAGACCATTCATTCCCTCTCTCCAAATCATTTTCACACACACGTTAGTGTTAAATATTCAGAATCTCCATTGCCTCAGTAATGAGTAACTTTTACAAGATCCACCGTAGGGAGCCCCAGGACTGGCAGTCTGCATTCATGGCACTAATTGGCAAAATGTTCGCTCTTGCTGAACAACGGGGCACAGGCAGAGGAAGCTGTGATATTTAACATTAGCACAGGGCTTCAGGATTTTTCAAGTTAAGACCACAAGTTTCTGTTGGTAGCCGTAGAGGGTTTACAATTGATTGGCTTCTCTTCCACTCTAGCCAACGCAATGAGAATAGAACAGTCCAGATTTTCAAAGAAGGTTGACTGATGCTCCCTCCCTCAAACCATTCTGAAAGGATAAAACAACTTGCCAGGGTTGTTCCCCGTCTAATGATTCCCCATCTTGTTCACATAGAACCAGGAACAATATTTTAACTCGCAAAGGGCCATGTGGCCCTGGCGTGCGTGGGAGCGTTTCCCTTGTCTGGCTCAGAGGCGGCCCATGGTAACCAGGTCTGTCTGGGGCCACTCAGGCTGCTATAACGAAAATACTATAGGCTGTCTGGCTTAAATAACAAGCACACATTTCTCACAGTTCTGGAGTCTGGAAAGTCCAAGATCAAGGCTCTGGCAGATTGGGTGTCTGGTGAGGGCCCGTTTTCTGGTTCACAGATGTCTGGTCCCCTTCACAGGCCCACCTCCTGATAGCATCACATTAGGGGTTAGGATTCCGACACATGAATTTGGTAGGGACACAAGCATTCAGTCTATAAGGCATAAGCAGATTAGTGCATGTGACCAAGGCCAAAGGGGGTCCAGGGCCTCCAAATTAGCCTTGGGCCCAAGTCCCTGGTAATATGGTGGGAGAGCTACCTTCCTGGTG